ATTAAAAACAGAGAGAGACTGAGAGCTGTTGAGGAAGAGCTTTGTGTTTCTTCAATTTATGCCAGGAAATCAGCTGTTTTCATCCAAATATGCACAGGTTTCACACTAGATGGGTAAAATATACAGATATTGACATTTTGTACATGCAAATCTTCATATTGTAACAGTGAAATCTTTCCCAAATATTGCTTCTTTCAGAATAAGAATTATTTTCTGTATTCCAGCTATAAAAATGCTTGTGGATTAGTTTGTAAAACACTTTGAAGTTTTCTACAACTACAATTTCACACCACAGTGTTGTGGCTGTTCAGGTGTATTTTTGAAGTGGACATGTTAAGTGCAGTTTGAAATAAGAAATGTAAAATGTAATAAAAATAAATTTTTGTTGTGTTTATTTGATTCCTATTCAAGACACTTTGATAAGAATTACTATATATGTAATACAGAGTATCTTTGTTTACATTTTTGGTTGGTGATGTGCCTCGTGATTTTTTCAATAATGTAGCTTCACTCAGAAAAGGTTGAAAAACACTGTAATAAGTCATCAATAGGCTTGAGTTTTTAGCACAGAATCTGTAGAAACCTGACAATATGCTAAGTTTAGAATAACTTAAACTTTTGTTTCTTTAACCGTGACTCTTTTTTTTGCTGATATGGTCTTGTTTATTAAAGGTCTAGTGCTGACACCAGAAAGAAGCAGTATTGTAATTTCATTAATGAAAAACATCTTTGTGCAACCGATGACTACAATAAAATATATGAATTTATTCTGATTTTGTATAGGAATAAAAAAAACTTGAATGGTCCACTTGAATAGAGTACCCCAGTGCATTTTACATGCCATATAGATTAAGATAACATTGAAGATTATTTAAAAATATCATGTATGTAGCAAACATATAGAGATATTAGATTTTCCTCCTATCGCCCAGCCCTACTTGTGAGAACAATGTTTGATTCCTGGAAACTAAACTGCCTGATTGAAGATGAACTAAAGCCAATGTTTGATTATAGAGACGGAACAGAGCTCACTTTGCATCATTTTTACCTTTCCAAACAGCTGGAGAGACTTTTTGGGTTTCTTCTTTGGGGAGAAAATCTGGTTGTATTCTTCAGTCCATTCAAGTAGTCTCTTGCTGGGTTTTCGTATTCGTTTATGTTCTGGAAACACAAAAAGAAGGAAATCATTAAACATTCTGTTGATACTTTATTGAGTAATTAACTTGTAAATGAGTGAATCACACAGGAACAACTTGATGAGTTAAGATATGGTGAAGAAGATGACTTGCTGAAAATCAACCCGAGCTTTAGAAAGGGAAGACATTCAGGATATGTTTACTGTTCCAGAAACTGATGATCTACTGGCTAATTCCATATCTGAATGGACAACCAGTCAAACTTTGAAAGAAATGGGCTACAGCAGCAGAAGGCCAAGCAGGTGCCACTTTGATTAGATAAGAACAGAAAGCTGAGGCTAAAGAAAATGGTTGGATGGATGCGACCTGCCCATGCAGACACAGGTCACATTTCAAAAGATCAGATACGGATCTGTGTTGTTCAGACTGTCATGAAAAGATCAGACGCAGATCGCATTAAGGCAAAAAAAAAAAAAGAAGGGGGATTTAGGTCACTTCATTCTGCAGAGTGAATGTAGCCTAACAGACAGGAAAACATTGGTTGTTGCAATAAGTTTTGGAAAAACAATTCATCCAAAGTCTGGAAAAGTTTTGAATGTTTACTCTGCCTTTAGTCTGATCTGTAGTAAATGCACAGATAACCACCTTCATCCACATTACAGGTGTTTTATCTCAGCTCTAATAGCAGGAAGACAGCAGTTTTCATGTTCAGTTTATCACATTTCGCAAAATGGATTGTGCTACAGAAAATGCCAACTTTCCATTGTTGTTATTTTTGTGAGGACGGTACGTCAGACTGTCCTTACCGGCTGAAGTCTTGTCTTGTTCCTCAGCTTCAAGAATCACGTCCGTCTTGTTCATCATGTCGTCTCCGAGGCTGGTTGGCTGTTCCAGGATGAGTGTCAGACATTCCCTCCTTTCCAGAGGAACACCAACCTGCTGGTTGCCCTCCAGTCTTTCCCATCTCTGCTGCTCCTCTTGCCCACCAATGTCTCCACTACAGCCAGCCTGAATCCAGCTACTGCCAATTTGTACATCCAGTATTTTTGAAGTGATATCTGCTGTTGGCCAGGAAGTGATTCCTGTTGTTGACTTTACTCCAGGAAAACCAGGTCCAGACACTCTGCGATTGGTTTTCCCTTTCAACCAATGGCTGCCACTCTTTCTGCTACAGGGCCTCTTGAGTTTCTGGCCTTTACCACATCCGCTCTGTCCAATCACACTTTTATCTGCGATTGGATCGGTTTTGCTAAGAACACATGTGTGGCTGTGTCCTTCCAGTGGAGCCTTGTTTGGCATCATCAGCGGCTCCTCCTTCACATGTCCACTGGGTGGCCCAATCTCTAACTCTAGGGGCGCGCCTTCTCGCTCTCTAGTGTCATGCAAGTCCTTCAGCATCATAAGAAAAGTGCTAAACTGGTATTTTGAGTCTGGCCTGAAAGAGACTGGCTTTCCATTGCTGCCGTTTGGTAAGGATTGAAAGGAAACCTCCGTAACATTCTTGAAGGCTTTCATGAAGGAAAACGGTGATTGAGGTGATGGAGGTTGTGTTGGTGGGGGCAGATCTTCATGCTTTGCCTTAACTATAGATGTAAGCGGTATGAAGTCCATTGGCGGAGTTGAAGAAACTGAAAGGTCTTCATCTTCACTTTTAACATCAGCTTCAAAATCATCTGAATCAGAGAACAGTATGGAAGGGGAGCTACATCTAGAAAAGCAGTCACCATTGTCAATGTGAGTAGATTTTAGAAGTTTTAAATTAGTGCAAATATCAAATTTGGGCTCAGCAGAATCCTGAACTGTGTCCAGAGGTTTGCTCAGCTTAGTTTGCTCAGTCTCCTGCTGGGCTTTTCTACGTTTCCTCTGGTCGACAACCTGCAAGGCCTTCAGGGCTCTGGTCATCAGCCGACTGCTTGCTGGAAGATGCGCCAGCTGCTCTTTCAGGACTTTCTGAATTTCTTTAGCCTGCGTCAATTTGTGAACAGCTTTTCTGGATTTTGGAGAAGGCCGACTTTCAGGGAGGTGAGGACTTCCTGTTGGAGAAGCTGCAGTTTTAGTAGATGAAGTGTTTTCCTCTGAGCTGTCTGGCTGGTCAGACGATGTCTTTGTTTGACTGCAAACAGAAATGTCTTTACATTCTAATCTGTCTGATTCATTGCACGATAAGGCGGTGATACTTTCTAGACTAACGTTTGACGCTGGGATACGTTCTACTTCTGGGCTGCTCAACGCATCAGAAAGTTTTGTGGAAGTGAGAGCATTGTTTCCAGGTGTCTTGGCGTTTTTTCCAGGTGTCTTGGCGTTGTTTCCAGGTGTCTTGGCGTTGTTTCCAGGTTTCTTAGTGATGTTTCCGGGCGTGGGAGTGTTGTGTTCAGGTGTCTTAGTGTTGTTTCCGGGCGTGGAAGCGTTATTTCCAGGTGTCTTAGCGTTGTTTCCAGGTGTCTTAGCGTTGTTTCCAGGGGTCTTAGCGCTGTTTCCAGGTGTCTTAGCGCTGTTTCCAGGTGTCTTAGTGTTGTTTCCAGGGGTCTTGGCATTATTTCCAGGTGTCTTAGCGTTGTTTCTAGGTGTGGGAGTGTTGTGTTCGGGTGTCTTAGTGTTGTTTCCGGGCGTGGAAGCGTTATTTCCAGGTGTCTTAGTGTTGTTTCCAGGTGTGGGAGCGTTGTGTTCGGTTGTCTTATTGTTGTGTTCGGTTGTCTTATTGTTGTGTTCGGGTGTCTTAGCGTTGTGTTCGGTTGTCTTATTGTTGTGTTCGGGTGTCTTAGCGTTGTGTTCGGTTGTCTTATTGTTGTGTTCGGGTGTCTTAGCGTTGTGTTCAGGCGGTGACTCTGATGACAGCCGAAGTAGGCCAGACTCACTTCTAGCTCGTAGCTTCTTGACTGAGACCTTGATGAATTTTGAAGGTGTAATTTGATCCGTGGAGACGCTCGTTTTGCTGCCTGTCAAGTCTGATTTATTAGTTGCAGCTTTATTCACATTACTATCTGATGTCTTCTCTTTCTTATTGCATTCACTTCTGTTAGTGGTGACATTAGTCAGACATGAGTGTAAATATTTGTTTTGTTCTAACTCCTTGCGTATTAGTTTCACAAACGGGAGTCTGCATTTAGAGACCAGATTTTTTTGCTTTTCTAATATTGAGACTGGATCCCTGTTTTCGACTTCTAAACAGGGCCCCAAAGTCTGCTTTCTTTCTTTCTCCTGGTCAGAAGGTTTTTCAGTTTCATCAAGTTGTTTAGTAGCAATTACGACAGAAAGTTCAGTTGAACTTACAAATGTTATCGTCTTTGGAGAATCTGAGTCATCATTTAAACCGACTTTCTTTGAGGGATGAAAGTCTTTTTCAACATCCGGGTCGTCAGATGAAATGCTTGAAGGGTTTATTTTGGTCTCAGAAGTCTGTTTGTCTTCAGTGGACAGCTGGGCCTTTGGTTTGTCTAAAGACCCACCTCTTCCTTCAACAGGGTTGGCCTCGCTGGCCCTACATTTCTCAGGTACTGAGTGTTCATGTATTGGACCATTATCTGTTGACTTATTACTGTCTGCCAGTATGACTGGGTCATTGGACCAGGCGTTGATGTTGATCATCGAGGCGGAGGGAACCGGCGCCTTCTTGCTAACGGTGGATAAGTGCTTTTTCTTACAGGGACCCTTACTAAAGAGGGAGCGGTCCGACACTGGGCTGGTAGTTTTTGGTCGCCGGTCTCTGCCCGATTTACTGAACCACAGTCCGGTCTGGGTGTCTGGCTGCTTCTTTAGCTCTTTGACTGCAGCCGCAGACGGCTGGCATGGAAGCAGCTTTGGCTGACGCTCAAGAGCTTTAGGACACAAAATCTTTGGGACTGAGTCGAGATCAGAGTATGGGCACTCTCTGTTGTCTCTGTGAGACTGATCAAGACTGCAACACAATGTGTTTTCATTCCCAAGGTCCTGAAGGGATTTGCTTCGCTTCTTCTTGGTAGAAGTTTTCTTTAAAGTGCTTGGTTTTGTCTGTGCTGTAGCTGCAGACGAGGTGGATCCGTTCTTTAAGTGCAACGGTTCAGAAACAGTGGGAACCAGGAGAGAGGGCGAGGGAACGGCTGGATGGGGCTTCTTCTGTCCTTCTGCCGGGGAACTGCAGGAAAAGGTTTGATCTGTGGATGGAGCCAGAGACGGAGAAACGTCGGGTCGCCCAGACAGAACAGATTCAGCCTCGACCACACTGCATCTCCACAAATGCTGGAAACGCTTAGGGATCTGCAGCAAGACGAGAAAACATGTCCGTAAGACATTTAACCAAAACAACAGACTGTTATCTTTTCATGATGCTTTTGGTAGTCACAGATTTCTGTTAGTGTTCTGGATTAGAGCTACTGTCCCAAAATAAAGCAAAGGACCAACCTTTCATCAGAACACGCATCATGCAATAAGTCACAATTGAACACTTACAGTGTTTCTGTTGTTCTGCTCTCTTTGCTTGCTTCTTCGTCTCAAAAGGAGAAGTTGGTCGAACTCAAAGCCTCCGTGGAACGCCTGAGTTGATTTTTCCTCCACCCAAACGTACTCCTTCGGCTCCCCAAAGGTCCGGACGTGATATAGCCGACAGAGCCGGTCACAGGGCTCTGCAAAGAAACCAATACCTGCTGATTGTTTTTAGAAAGTGGAAATTACAACACCAATACCCAGAAAGTACAGAAAGAGTTAACAATATGCTGAAATATGGATGAAACATCAAACAAGGTGGTTGAAAATCCTAAAACATAAATCGTTAGTGCAAAAATAATTTGGCAAACTACAAGAAAAAACTGATGTCTGAAAAAGTGTTGCAATTTCAAACAAAGTCTTATAATCTTCAGAAAATTATTTTCCAGTTGAGTCACAATCGTGTCTGACGTTTTGATGGAAATAATCAACAGTTGCTGGAAACGTGTTGAGAAAAAATGAAACAAATTAAATTAGAGAAGATTCAGGCTGAAGCTGCCAGGAAGCAATTGTCCTCCTGGTGAGTCGTTTCCATAGCGACGACCCACCTGGAGTAAAACAAGGTCAAAGTCAAACTGAAACCAAGCTGAACATTGATTAGTAACAATTAATCGTTTTAATCATTACAGAAATAATTGTCAACTAATTTAGTGATCAATTAATCGTTAACTAAATAAAACGGGTTTGTGGTTCTACCTTTCATCCGGTGATAGACGCCCAGTGCCGGGTCGGACAGCACCTCACACGGCCACCAGGGCCGGCGGCCGAACTTCGCCCAAACGATTTCCCCCTCAGCGAACTTCACCGGAGGCGGAGGCTTTTTCCTCGAGCCGCTCGGCTGCTGCAGGACACGAACACTCTAAACAAATCCACACGCTGTTTTCTCATGTAGTTATTTCACAAGCATGCAGATAAACCAGAAGTAAATGTTTCTGACCTTTGACCTCTTTAATTCTGTTTTCCATTGATTAATAAACAATTTCACCCACAAAACAAACTGCAGCAAAATGTACACTAGTTCATTTAACAGAAAATCCTTCAGTTTGAGTCAATGAATGGGTTATGTCACTCTGAACTACACTGTAAAAACATACTTTGTGAAGGACATTTTAACTTACTGTGTTGTTTCATTGCCTTTTAAATTGTTTTAAGTTTTTATAGGTTGATTAGGAGACGCCTACTGCACATTAGCCAATATAAATATAAATGTTAGTTTTCTGTTTTTATGATTAACTACAGTTGGACGATACGGCTGAAAAACAATATGTCATATCAGCTAATATTGATCATTATTGGTTTGATTTTATTTTGTTTGCTGAACTGTTTGACCCAATTTTCACTTCACATTTTTTATTTTTAAGCATCTACGAGGAGAAACCTGGAACTGCTGCAACAGGCTGTTGCTAGGTAACCGAAGAGTGAGTGAGTTGCTAGGTAACCGAAGAGCGAGCGAGTTGCTAGGTAACCGAAGAGTGAGTCAGTTAGTTGATGCTACCCAGCTAGCTTAGCCAGTCATGGGAGTTTGAGCGGGTCAAGTCTGTCCTCTGCCTACATCTCCCAGAATACTGTGCGGTTCTGGATCAGAGTTCAGTCAATATTCTATATATTGATTATTCTACAGACATATTATCTATTGATATAGATCCTGTCCCTATGGCAATAGACATTATTGAGTTATTGCCTCCATGCTACAGACAGAAGCAAGCTGAGCTTACCACCGTCCGCCATGCAGGACAGTCATCGAACAGGAAGAGCTCCGAGTCGCTGTCCCACTCGTCCTCTGAGCCGTCCCAGTACCGCCGGCGCTGACCCGAGGACTGGGAGCGCGTCACCACCTTGGGCGGCGCCACCGCCGACTCCTCTGGGTCCAGACGAGCGTCCACGGGGGTGAGCTGCAGCGAGGTCGGCGGCTGGTCGCGTTTGTCCAGGAAACCAGGGCCCTGCGCGGCGCTCTGCGGTTCCTCGTCGGCGCCGTCGGCCTCAAACAGAGCCGAGTCGAAGTGCAGCAGGCCGTTGGCGAAGGGGCTGCTGCTGTCCAGAGAGAAGGCCGGGCTCGGCGGGCTGGATGGAGAGTTGCCTCCCATTTTCTCAGAAACAGCAGACTGGTGGCAACAAACAGCAGGAAAGTCTTTACTTTCACTTTGGAGCTCCGTTTGCTTTTCACCAGAAGAAGATGAGACGTCAACGTCTTCCTGGGAGACAGAATACTCTCTGTACTCTGCCCAGCAGTCCTCTGTCCTGTCCCTCTGGTTGGACCCCCAGTCCCAGCGCCGGTCGGGCCCCCGGCTCGGCATCACCAGGTCGGGCCGGCTCACCATCTTGGTGAGGTGCTGCAGCCTCCTCAGGGGGCTATATGAGGAAGAGGAGGAGGAGGAAGAGTGGTCTGACTGGATGTAGCCGTAGACAGACGTGTGTTTGAGGGAGGAGGCGGCGGCTGACATGGCTGGGCTGATGCAGCACGGGTCAAGGGCCGGGGTCAAAGGGCAGCTGGACTTCCTGTCAGGGCCTTTGGAAGGCCCACTCATTCTGACATGATCCGGCCCTGAAACAGAAATTGTCTTTTTTTAGAGTCCGTATACTCCATTGAACGATCGTTCAAACAATTTTTCTGAACTAAAGTTTTAACCCAGGTGAGCCACGCGGTTCACCTAAAGACTAAAATATTAACGTCTTTTTATATTTATGTTATAAACAGTGTGAAAATATTTCAGAGCCGGAGCAACTTTAACCATGTTGGCAACAAACTCAGCAACAGCAACACTGAAGGCAATATGTCTTCTATGTATACCATAGAAAATTAAAAAGTCACAAATTATCCCAATTTGGTCACAGAAATCTGAGCTCAAATAAACACTTAGTTTCACTGTAACTTATAATGACAGATGCAGTGATAAAATCTTTATACTTTATTTCTCTTATCTTCAGTATTTAAAACAGGCCAACAGAGAAAATAAGCAGCAATATCAACCAATAAAACAAGAAAATTAATTATATAACAGCTGATATAATAGGCGATAACAGAGCAGCTAATTTAAAAGTTGTTTTATTATTGTTATATTTACCAGCCTATTGTTAAAAAAAAAAAAAGTTTTTCTATCTCAATCAGATAAAAATGATTTAGATATTTTTGGTTTAATTATAGTTGACAGTCACATAAATACTAGGTAAAATATATTAGATTTGTGTAAAAATAATTCACCGCCAAACAAAAGATTCATGATAGTTTATGTGCGAAATGGAAGAAGAAATAGAAGAAAATGGGAAAACGTTTCAAATTGAACCGCTGATAAATAAAGTTAGCTAAAGTTGGAAAGGTTAAAATCATCTCGGTTTTTAATATTTCTTTGGGCTGCAATGAATCCGTTAGTTTCTGTGATATCACTATGCAGTAATTATCTGAGCTGACCTGCAGCTCCGTTTCCTCTTCAGATCTGAATGAAGCCAAAATAAAACATGGATCCTGCAGCGGCGCGTCCTAACGTCACATTTCAGCTGAAAACACGGAGCTGCCGGTCTGCGCTGCTATCGCGAGATGTTGGAAATGACATCCAACGCGATAAGGTCAGGCTGGAATCTCATGGACGCGCGGCGGCCAATCAGGCCCGCAACGTCAGGTTACATGATTAAAAAAACCATCAGGGATTGGGATTAACGTGGACACAGGCGCGCGCGTGCGCGCCTGTGTCCACGCACGAGGAAAAGTGTGTGCGTGTATGTGTGTCGGTGTGTGACGACATGTGTGCATTATGCATGCGGCGGCTTGATGCCTGGAAATAAAAACCAAACGCGACAAAAAACAACAAGTTCAGCAAGGCACACGAGCACGCGCGCGCACAGACACGCGCACGCGCTCCCACCGACATATGCGGGGCTATGAACATCAGAAAAAGCAGAAATCGCGCAGAAAACGCCGCATGTCGCGGGATGTGCCGCCTGAATCTTACCATTCCGGTGTAGCGGAGCGCCGCCGCGCCGCGCCGCCTCCTCATTCTGGTGGATAAACGGGCCAATTTCAGGATTTTTGAGAGCGGATGAGGCGAGTCCCCGCGGCAGCACTTCCTAGGCCCGGATCCTGAGCTCTCTCTCTCTCTCACCCATTCCCCCTCCAACACACACACTCCCCTCCTCCCAAAGCATGCGCTAACCCAGCGGCCCGGGAACAGCCTAACACATCACAAATTCCTCTGTTTGCTTTGAAATAACTTTATAATCCCGTTTCTAATCTCGTTTCTAATCCAGTCAGAGGGTGGCTGCTCTGCTGGCCGCTTCCTGCCGGCAGTCATTCGGCCAGGCGTCACCGCCGCTCAGCGCATCTTCATCACCAAAACCCAGAAAATCACCAAAACAGCCATAAGCCCCGCCCCTTTTCTGCATCCTTCATAATTAACCCCGTCACCTGCCGGGAGCCGCACGATTCAATCAAACATCGCTACGAAAGATTTATGTGATGGTGCAAAAGGAAAAATAACAAGTTAGCATATTATTTTACTGTAAATTAATTTTTAAGTATTTCTTATATCTCACATGCAGGTAGATTTAGTATTTATTTAATAATTGATTTTATTATATGAAACTTGACATGACGTGATGACTAGCATCATGCTAGCGTGTTATTAGCTGTTGCATAACGCCTTAAATATTTTAACATAAAAAATGATGCAGTGCCCTGCTGTGGATTATTAAAACTAAAAATAAATAATAAGGTCCAATCAGGTCACAGCTCAGAAAAACAACTTAATTAAAAATAAAAACAGAGGCGGAGGTAGGTCAGCTGGGCTAAGCTTGACACTGACAACTTTTAGAATTGTTTAAAATTGTATTTAAGTTAAATTAATAAAATATTAATTTGATCAATTATCAATTAGTGGGCGTAGCCAACACCATTGTTTAGCAGGTTAACCAATCAGATGAGTCCTAAACAACCTCTGACCTCTAACCTTGAGTCTGCTTCCACGGCATCTCACTGTAATTCTTCCTGCAGCCCATAGGGGGCGATAATCCTTTGGCTTGTACGCTGCCTACACAGAAAACAGGAAGAATTTTTTAAAATAAATTATTTCAAGCGTTTGTACCCTTGTGGTTGCCAATACATAAATTAGCCAAATCATCCGAGTCCCATTCATTTTCCAACTGTAAAATATGACAAATGAAAACCGTTTGATTCCGCCCAGCTGGCTGCTCGTCAATATTTAAAGTCTGTAGATTGTAGAAAATGACTCCAAATGTTCAGTTGTTGTCGGAACAAATCAATCTGTGGCATTTTGTTCTAAAATAACTCGATAACAACCAGAACGGCATTAAATGGCAAAATCTTGTTCTTGAACTGAATCAAAGTCTGTTTGGCGCCACCCTTCGGACAGGAGTATAACTGCAGGCAAACCTGGACTACGCCCCCTAGTGGGCAGGTACAGATTATACTTACGCCACATGGGCCTTTGAGTCCTTGAGGCAAAAATATTAAAATATTCTATAAAATTAAATCATTACTTTTTATTAACATGTTTGTATAATTTTAACATCAAATAAATTTTTTTATTTCTGGATTATTTGTGTACTTAATAAATGTTTTACTCAACAATATGTTTCCATATTGGTAATTATTTACTGTGTTGAAATTCAAATGTTTAATTATTTTTGGCCCTCGATGCTTCAGGGAGCCTAAAGGCTGCAGCTCAAGACAAAACCACAGAATGAAGAATCAATGGATCGGTCCCGACATGTCCTCCTCCGCTACCTGATCAGGAAGAAAAGCTCCAGCTGTCCGCCGGAACCACCGGAACCAGCCAGAACCAGAACCAGAACCCGCTGCCGTCCGAGCCACCGAGCCGCGCCATGTCTCTTCAAAATGGAGGTCCTCCAAAGGCGAGAGGGGGAACGGAAAACAGGCCACAAAGTGTTAATGCATGTTCGGTATGAGGGTGACCCAAACCCGGAGGAACCGAGCCGCACATCGAACCTCTGCTGCGGTTCTGGAGGAAATCCTTCCAGCTTTTCTCCACGGCGGCAGATATTAGTTTCCTCTGCTTATGTTACACAGAGCAGAGTCACAGTTATATCCCTCTTGTGTGTGTGTGTGTGTGTGTGTGTGTGTGTGTGTGTGTGTGTGTCGTACGTAAAACAGCAGCAGGACATTTACTGAGACTTTCAGCGCCGCCTGAGCTGCTTTCCTCCCGGGTTTGGTGCTTGTTGCGGCGGCCAGCGCGGCAGCCTCCGGCCGCGCAGCGCGGAGCTTCTCCTGCCTTCCTGTTCGCCTCCAGCCGCTCTCACCAAAGCTTTGGGATTCTTCTGCTTTTATCTGAGAGGCTGGGGAGCTTTCACACTGACTGCTCAATGCGTCCGCACAGACACACGCATCCGTGCGGGCATCGGGCGGAGATGCGGGGAACCTGAGTGGAAATGGCCGCAGAGCCTCATGACTGTGGGCGGGTCGTAGTGTGGCGCCGCGGCGCCTCGCAGCTCCGAGGGGTCATCGCTGGGAACAAACGGAGAAGCAGCAGCAGAAACCTGGACACTCAGCAGCTTCCGCTCATTTCACGTCACGTTTTGATTTCCAGCCCTGCTTGAGCAGCAGCACCCGGGCTGGACTCAGAACCCAGAAACTGATTTATTCAGACGGGACGGGGCCTGCTGCGGCTTTCAGCTGCGCAGAACAGCGCCACTTTGGGCGGCACTGCGCAGCTCCGGGTCTCTGCGATCAGCCGGAAAAAACCTGATTCCAGATTGAAACATCATGGCTGCTTTTCTGCTGCTTCAGCATGAGCCGCTTCAGACCTGCAGAGCAGGGGCGGCTCCTGAGGGAGCGGCCCCCGGGCGCCTCTTGGCCCCCCATGGTGCACTTATATATAAATATATATGTACACACACAGAGTTCTTATTAAACTTTCAGAATAATGTCAAACATTTGAGATTTGCATTAAAATGTGTTATTTTTAGCATCTTTGGTTGATCTATTAAACCATCAGCATCAAATTCTCTGTTTTCAGATGTCGGGTAAATAAATAATTTATTCCAAAGAGAGAATCACTGATCTGCTCATCCAGACCTTCAAAACTCTGCCAAAGGTTTTTTCTCATTGAAAAACTTTTTTCTCATATTTTTAGTAACTTCTTATTTTTTGTTTGTGATTATTCTCCTATGATTACAACTTTATTCTTGAATTATCATGACTTCATTTTCACCATTTAAAAAATAGTCTAACGTCTTACTTGTACCTACAGTAAGTTCAGACTGAATCATTTTGTCATCATTTGTGTCTAAAATCAGTCAGAGCTCTTTAAAACATCCAGCTGGTTTCTGGTAATAACTTTATGATTTTCTGTGGAAAATGAAATGTTTCAAAAAACTTCCAGATTGTTCAGTCAAATTTCACCAACACTAAGTTGTTACCTAGCAACCCCAGCTGATATCCAGCATTCGGTCAGCTAGTTCTTATACACTGAACAATGGCTACTGGAAAAGACAAGAGTTTAGTTGGTGACTTGTTGCATTCTGGTTGGATGTGCAGGAGGCTCCACTGATGCTTTTCAAAGCTGTGCAGGTGGCTGTGGGTTCTTATGGCTCCGAGGTTCAGGCGTTGGACTGGTTCCATCTTGGTTGATTCAATCTAACATCTGCAGGGAAACAGAGCGGATCGCTGGATCAGCAGGCGGTTTAACCATTAAATCAGTTTCATTAAATTACATTTCATATGTCTAAACGAATATTTTCACTATCCACAACGTAAGATACCTGTACTTATCTTGTGGCTTGAATAATCATTCTAGATATCCTCAGTTATATTTCTTCCAGATATGTCAAACGATGGGTCACATATTACACAACGTAATAATTACGTTGTGTGCCAGTCACAATGTAATTATCTTAATATGTCCAGTCATAAACCAGCTTCATAAAGCTGGAATAAAAGTGTGGTGAAGCTCATTAATCAATTATTGCAATAAACATCAACTAGTTTAGTAATTCATTAATCATTAGAGTGAACAAACAAAAAAGTTATTTCCTGAAGGAGCAGAAATTAAACCAAAATTATAAAAAATAAAAACATTTTACATTTAAAATAAAAAATAAAAAACTCTTCTGCTGTGATTAAATTGGTTTTACCCAGAGTGGTTTTAGTTTCACTTGGTTCAAATGAAAAAATACATTTCCTATTTGGTTTCGTTTTCTATCAAATTATTAATCAGCTAATCAATAAATAATCAATCATCTCTACTCTGTATTAATGTTAATCCAGGAGAAAGGCCTGAACTTTTCTCATGTTGATGTCTGAAGGTTTTTGTTACGGCCCTGGGCCTTGTTGGGCCGGGGTTGCAGGTCTTGTCTCTTTGTGCTCCTCCCCTTTACAGGTGCTGCTGATTCATTCATTTGGAGCAGAGTACTTTAACCGGGCTGTCTCAGACTTCTTCGGCGCTTGTTGCTCGCTCGTCGCTCGTTATCGCTGGTCGCCCGCAGCGTCCACTGTGCCGTCCGAGATGTTTGGTGGCCAGGCTTCAGTTCCCCTCTCGTTGCACCTTTGAGTTTGTCTTTGTTTTGGCACCTCAACACTTACATATGCACTCATACAACACATCCAAGCATTTGCACCTCACCACTGATACTGATATCCACAATCCATTGTTGTTTTTGTTAATAAACATTTATTTCTGTGCACTTTAACCACGGCATGGTTTCACGTTTTTGTTACGACCTTGAGCCAGTCGTAACAGTTTTTTTAAACAATCAAATGTTCACTGGATTCAATTATTTGTTTATTTGTATTTTAAATGTTTTTCTTATGTATAAAATGACTGAAGTGGTTAATGATCAGGATGATCGGCTTGTTAGGTGCAGCTCTACATATTATGAGTTTTTCCAACAGGTTCTCCTCCGTGTCTGAAACGTGAATAAAAACGTCCACAAGGGGGCAGCAGCTCGGAGGGTGACAGCAGAAACGGACCCGTCCATCAGAACCAGAAACTTTTGTTTTCACAGATTTGGATCTGAAAATCTCCAGCTCACACGAATCCGAATCGACGCTGCGGTTCAGAGCCGGAAGCTTCTCGGAGGTTTTCTGTTTGT